AAATTGAAATCTGAAGCCTTAGCGATTTCTCAGTAATAGAACTGAAAATGTGCTAATGTGTTCACATATTTTTTTTTTATTTAAACTTTCTTACTACTTATTAAATAGCGATCTTTGCAACTAAAAGTCTCGAGTCAGACTGAGGGATTGTTTTACATCAACTTCATTGAATCACATGCGAAGAAAAAAATAATATAAAAGATTTGTTTTTTTTTTTTTCATTATTCTAATAAAAATGCATTAATATATGCTAGCAAAAAAAGGCAATGATTATTAGCTTCTCATCACTGTTTGTCGATTATTTCAATGCTCTCCTATAACATGACATTAATTACATATAGCTATACTTAGACAATTTGATTCTAATAAAATAAATTTAATAGAAGGAAGTCGGGAAGTAATACATTGAATTGATAAATGTGTCTCGAACATTTTTAAATCACCATAATTATGCTGAATGTTTTTCTCACGGCAGTAATGATCTAATGATCGAGTAGATCATCTGAAGGATTTTTGTGCTGATTAAGGTTTCTATAATTAATGTTTTTTTGATAATGTTATTTTAAAGAATAACGAGAATAACTAAGAAGCCTCAATTATAAGAAAATTTCAACTTGATAGCCCCTTTTAAAAATGGCAGCTTGAAGTACACAAAAATGCACTTTTTCATTGCCAATGTAATTTGATTGAGATCCGGAAAATTTTCCCCAACTCAAAACACGTGATGGCTGAATAATAAGCTAGCCAATCATTACGCACAAATATTTATAGTACATTAATATGGCAATAAGAAGATAAAAAAGTCTATCAGAAAAATGACACATTTGTGAAGAAATATGGAAAATTTAAAGCTATAATCAACAACTCACACCTTCCAATAATTATATTCAAGACCGAACCAAAAAAAAAAAATAAAACTGTACTGTCAACTCCAAACACCTTTGATACCAACGAATGACTAAACTTTGTCGCCGCTATTTTAAAACGTTCAACGTATGCTTATAAGCAAAGACTACATATTTTTGAATAAACAATTATTCTTACGTTCTTGTTTTTAACTTCAAATAAATTTCTTTTCATTTTTTTCGTATGAAAATATGTTAAACAAATATTAAAAAAAAACCACCACAAAGATACAGAGTTGTGAGCATACAGTTGAAATTCATTGTTGGAATTATATATATTGTGGTGGTTGGGGGATTTCGTGATGGTTTCTTGACTCCACAAGACTTGTGATATTTGTTTAAAGCAATCCACATACCAATATACATTTTAAAACATTAATTATAACCTTAAGAGATGACGTTAAACGATGAATGTATTAATATGTCAATATAAGGAGAATAATAGTATTTTGAATGTTACACTTATTCTCTTTATATACAAGTTTTAGATGTGGCTTGTGAGCATATGTTATGTAGATAGCTTGGAGATGAAGCAGGTTTTGACTATTCAATTTTATAGGGTTTATAGAAACACCTTATAGTCATGGATATGTTGGAACTGTTCTTATCCCGGAAACTTAAAATTTGTTTTACAACATTAGGCATACATCCACGCAAGGAAATGACATAGAATTGTAATAAAATGCTTTGCGCATATTTCTCATTCCGAGAATAGAAATGCGATCATTCTCAGTTTTCAAATAGAGATTTGCAGATAAAATAAAAATTTAATCTATGATTATGCTTTCTCGCTATCGGGATCGGGATCGGGATTTCCCGGGATTTACCGATCCCGATCAATCCCGGGATCCCGAAATTTATCGGGATCGGGATTGAAAATCCCGGTTTTTTAGTTTAGGAAATTATTGATGTTTTAGAACCTGCTAAATACGCGACAGAAGAATTATTGCGTAAATCAAACGATTTATTAATTGCTGAAGGAACAATTAACTTTTTGCTAGACGAATTGTTGCTACAAGGAACATTATTGTCTCAAAAGGTTTACGATATGAATTGCGCTCGCATAGGTGCACGAAGAAATTGAACATTAATTGACTTAATACTTTACCTGAATAATCCTCAATATATTTCTTTAGACAAGCATTTTAAATCGTCAACAAAAGCTGCAATACATAAACTTGGCATTGACTTATTGAAGAAGTATTTTGTCAAAAACTATACAAATGGAGCTATGGAAGCTTCAACATCCAGTGCAAATCAAATCCAACCGTCAAACATTTCTATTCGAGATAGACTGAAACTAAGCATATCTGAATATACATCATTAACAACAGATGCAGCAGCAACAGAACCAAATAACTTGAAAAGAGAGTTTAATTGGTATGACAAAAATAAGAAGAGAACCGTTTTATTAGATCAACTTTACGATGCATTGATAACAATGCAGCCGACCTCAACTCAAAGCGAACGAAATTTCTCTATTAGTAACAAAATTCTTACAAAACAAAGAAAACGTTTACTTGACAAGAATCTAAATGCAATTGCATTTGTTAAAAGTTTTTTCATTAATGCTTAATTTTTATTATTATTTTCACACCGTTTTCTATAACCTTTAAACTTACATCTTTATCAACATTTATTTTCTATTTTTGTTTATGTTCACATTTTTCAAAGGAAACATGGATTAAAACATCTACCTTGTAACACATAAAGTATAACTAATTAATTAAGGAATAAATGACCGTATAAGTAGCAAAAAAATATATAATTTTTTTGGGAAAAAAAGCAGAAAAATGCTGTTTTTTAAATTTTTTTACATATTCGGGATTCCCGGGATTTCCCGGGAAATCCCGAAAAATTTCAATCCCGATCCCGATCCCGAAAATTTGTCGGGACCGGGATTTCGAGAAAGCATATCTATGATTCTTATTTGAGAGATATTTTAGGTTGTACAATCTATTGTTCGCGTTTAAACAAGGCTACTCACAGATATTATTTACACTCAATTATTGCAATTAATGTGGAATTGCTAATTGAATAACTTGAAGTTAACATTGAAAGATCGTTTCGTTTTTATTTCCATTGAACATTTTTTAAGTGAGAAAAAATACTGACATATAATGGAAATCCATGCCGCAAAAGCATATTTTACAATCATTATCAAAGAAAATATATATTTTATTGAGCAGCACATTTTCTGTTGAACCAACCACGTTTTTAAATTAAGTTGATTGGGTGGAAAAACGCACTTTTGTCATGATTTCATTCATGTCTGTTTACTTCTTCTTATTTCCAAAACTTGTTCACAATCGGCTTTTTATAATTGTCAAACAAACATTGGCATACAAATGACTTTTTTAACAGTTTTGATGATGCAGGTTGATTGTTTGCAAATTAGTTTGGAAATTGCAAATCATAAGAAGTATTCTACATTACCAAATACTGTTGAAATACGTCAATAGTTATCTTCTATCTTAATGAATATTCTATTTGTGAAGTTCTGTCAGTTTATTGCCAAGTAAATGCGTAAATGAAATCTAGTCTTGATAATTCTTCAACTTTTTTCTTTTTATCTTATCGGCCTGAACTGTAAGCATTTCAAATTTCTCGGTAATGTTGTTTTTGTGACTTATTTTTTTCGCAAGCATGAAGGCAAATAGAAAATTTTAGATTCAATGGACTAAATAGAAATTCTACGTAAACTTTGTGATGTCACATTGCCACATTTAATTTTGTTTACATATGCATGCATATCTTAATTAAATTCATAAGTTTGCGTTCACTAACCTCGAGAAGAATTAAAATTTACAGCACACAAGTCTTTTTTTTGACCATCATATATTTTATGAATCCGTCACCACTATATTACCACTTAATTTAAATATTCTTTTCACTATTAAGTACACAATTTTTCATCGGAAAAATTACTTTCGCATGTTCTAGCGAGTCAACGAATAATGAGTCAATTTCAACAGGTGTTTTCGCCTTTTATACTTTTTCCCTATATTTTTTGTTATCCATTTGACATATTGTTATGTAGATTTTTTTTATTAATTCCATGCACATTTAATGCTTTCCGATGATAATTTTTCCCTCATCACTTTGTGCTTTTCTTTCCCTCACTTTCCACAATTACATAGTTCACCACACAATATTTCTGTTCCTGTCTCTATTGTTCAATATGGATATCTCTCATTCAACATTTGTAAGTATTCCGACCAATAAACATACAAAAAAAACAGGCAAAGTAAACAGCAAATTCCTCTTATCGGAATGAAAAAAAAAAATGAAATTAATGTGTCTCACACTGATAAGGAGTTGGAAATAATTTTATACATATATATCGATGGAATAAAGTATGCCGAATGAAACAAGTAAAGAAAATTTATCAACATTTTGAAGGGAGACAGCCATCGTTTAGTCGCTATTTCTTAATAATGTAGCACATGGGATGTCATGTATGCGTTTAATTTTAGTTGCGTTATCAGGCATACTGTAAACATTGATTCCAATCGATATCGATATCAAAAGGTGCAAGCATTAAACATTATTTCATCCAATAAATCATTCATATACAGCATAAATACCTATCATTCCGAATTTCAGGAAAATAAAAAATTAAGCCGGTTAAGGTAAAAGTAAATAGGTAGATTAATAGTACCTAGTTGTGCTGTAAAAATTCGTTTCACATTTTAAGTATGTACATAGCAGCGTTGTGCAAGTGTAAGAGAGGCAGCAGAAAAAAAAACGGGAAGCATAATGATTAGAGGCGATAAAATCCATTTGCTAGAAATAATCACTTCTATGACGATTTTTTTAGGGGAAAAATATGAAAATTGTTAAAGCATGACATACAAATTTTGAATTTAGTGTACACAAAAAACACAGTAGAAATTGATAACAACATCACTTGCACAATATAAAATGTGTCGTTGTAATTTATGATTATAATAATTAGCAATTTCACACTTTACTGATTTTGGTGCTTTTTTTTTTCATTTATTCCACATATTATTTTCGGTGCTATATAGCATCTCTCTTTCCTTTCATTCATTATCCATTACGTCACTCTTTGTATCTAATTTGCTTACTCACCGATCTAGTGTCACTCAATTTAGATTGTTGGTAGTCAAAAATTTGTTTCCGCAACAGTTCAATCTACAAATAAGGCATGAATGAGACATTGGCATGAGCTTTTTGCACATAATATGAAGGAATTTGATGACAACATAGAAAACTTTTATCAAAAAAAAAACTGATGATGACAACAGTTTTGAAATATGTTTATTAACCGCGCATTATTGAACGCCTTTATGTCTACTGGATTAATGGATTTGTTGTGCATATACCTCTTCTAACTGATGCTGGCATAATTTCTTTAAATTGTCATTCTCGTCTTTTGTTGACTTTATTGTTTCTGATGTTTCTTCCTCAAAATTAACTTCCAGTGCACTTTTCAGTGATTTAAATGAATCATTAAGGAAATTCATAATTTACATTACACTTATATTTTTCGCTGACATGAAATAATACTTTTAACTTTCTTAATTATACCACTTTTTTGTGATTTTTTACTTTTTCCTTGATGTTTTTAAATTGAAAATTAGGGTCAGTTCCTTTGTTATTGTCATTGATCATTTAAAAACTTGATAACCGTTGCTGTTTATTTTTTTATTTCATTAATTTTATTAGCTAAAATGGTATTATTGGGTATTATTGACAATAAGTTTCTATAAAGTATTAGGGCCAACTAGATTTTGCAACATATCCTTTATACTTCTTACGATGTTTTAAGCTCGTTACAAGCGTTGAGCTTTTGGGAAATGCTGAAACTCCATCAGTTTCTGGATTATATCTTTTTGCTTCCTGGATAATATGGAGATTTGGAATTGATTCATCTAGTTCCTCATAAGGTGTTCGACAATTCACAGGAGTTAGATAAAACTCAGTGACATCCTTAATTGATTTCATTTCATAGATCCGAGAATTAGGCACAACATGTCCATTGAATATTTTCGAGCATTCGTTGAGTAAATTAAATTTCTTCTCTTGAAAATTCGTGACATTTAGTTCCTTCACAACATTATTGATCTTTTGTTCTGTGTCACTCGGTGGATCATAAGATGCTTGCGATCGAAGAAATCTAAAGGAGTTAATGAAATGAAAATCATATGTTTAAATGAAAATATCAATTACCATCACTTACCCTTTTGCTTTCAGGCTGATTGCAGCTGATTCTATTTTCTTCACTACTTCCGGCTTGCGGAATGGTTTAACTTTATTATTATGTGAATGAAATCTTACAGAAATCTTGAAAAATCCAAAAGAACGAAACATTTTCTTGGTTTGTTTTGGGGTCGTGTATTAATGATGTCTATCGAATTTATATTATTTGTCACTCACCTCTTCTTAATATGCTTGACATCATTTGTAAATGATGATTTAAATAATCCGTGGCAATTACAAAAAGCATTGCCATAAAAAATAATAATGTTTTTAATATATCTCTTTTTATCTTGAATGATTCTCAACAGAGATCAGTCAATGTACCTTGCAACATCTTTTTAAACAATACCAATATAGCTAAGCACTTGAAAAATATTTCTTTCGGGTGATTTTTTGATAGAAATGGATATGAGAATTAACGGTGCAATCATTTTTGAATTCATTGTTTTTCTAATTTTGAAAATAAAAAGTAAAAATAATCTCGAGAATTTATTAAATAATTAATTTAAGCTTTATGGGTACATGATAGATTCCTAAAAGTTATTAAAGGTATGTATAAGGGGTTTCTTCTTCATAAAACATCATCAATCAGTCGATTTATAAAGATATTGCGATTTATTTGACAGAATATTGTACAACCCAAAAATTCTACCCATAATGCTGTTTAATTCTGCGAGATTAATGTTACTTCAAAGAAGTAACGTGCTTTCTGCATTGGCAGCTAAACAAATAGCATCGTCAAGCATTCGATATTTGGCATCTAGTCAATTGACTCATCTTCACTTTCCCCATAATTCAAATGTTTATGAAAAAGAGAAAACCGGTTTGTTAAATAGACGAAATGTGCACGCTCAATACAGCACTTATCTACAATCAAAGTCACCTTTTCATACCCACAGCATACTCTACTTGAATAATTCAAATTTTGCGGCACAAAAGGTCAATAGGAATAGTGATGTAAAGAGTGCTTCAAATGATGTAAAAGAAGAAGATCCGAAAAGTGTTGATACACAAACGGAGAGCACGAAGAATGTAGATGACGATAAGCCTTTGACGCTATATGCAAAGTTTAAGAAAATGGCTAAAGAATATTGGTATGTTCTAATACCTGTTCATGCTTTTACTTCAGTTTTTTGGATTGGCGGATTTTATTATGCTTCATTGAAGTAAGCTTAAGATATTATTTATGGATGTGACATAATATAATCTAACATGTACTTTATCTTTTAATATTTTTAGTGGTGTAGATATTGTTGGAATCCTTGAAAATCTCCATGTAAGTGAGATCGTTATCAGCAAATTAAGAGATTCAAGTTTAGGTCATTGGGCTGTTGCTTATCTTTGTTATAAAATTGCAAGTCCTGCTCGATATACAGTAACAGTTGCTGGAACGACATACACAATCAATATTCTATCAAATCGTGGAATAATTAAACCAATGCCTACAAGAGGCGAACTTGTGCAAATGTATAAAGATAAAAAAGATGACATAAATCAAAAGATTGAGGATAAAAAGCAAGATTTTCAACAGACTAAAGAGAACCTTCAACAGAAAGTTACCGACACTAAGGAAGAACTATATCAAAAGTTGGAAGACAAAAAGCAAGATATCCAACTGAAAATAGAGGAAAAGAAACAGGACATTCAGCAAAAAGTTGCAGACAAAAAACAGGAACTCGAAGATAAACTAAAAAGGAGCAATTGATAGTTAATAATATAATTAAGCTTAATGCTACAGCAATTATGATATTTAAAGTTTCTCAAAAGTACTTTTAATAAAATTTGTTAAGGTTTGTGAGCTTAAAGCATTAACAAAATCAACTTTTAGTAAGCTTAATAATAATAATAATAATAATGTGTGAAGGTCCCAGCCTTTCAGCTGAAGGCACTGCGATTCAAATTAGAACAGAATCTATTGTACCACACCCTTTAGACCTACAGTTTATAGTGGGATCCCAACCACTTTCAAGCTCTGCACATTGCAAAGACACGAGTACGTCATAAGACCTGATGTACCCTGCAATGAACCTAGTCACAATTCGTGTGCGCAAGATGCCGTAAGGAAGTCATCCAGATGCTAGTATATCCTTGTATACCTAGCAAAGGAGGCAGATTCTGTGCCAAAGACCTCCAAACTACACCCAGCACACGAACCGAGCTTCGTAACTAGAACGGTGAAATGGAAAAGCTAAGTAAGCTTTGTAGAACAGAAAGTTCTTGAAAATCATTAAACTATGGAACTTACGGGATTTCAAATATTTCTCTCCGTACTTTTCGCATTGTCAGGCTCAATTTATACAATATCTTCAAAATCGATGGACCACATTGTATCAATGGGAATTGATGGCGTTTCACGACAATTTACACATCCTCTATTAAAAATAAATATTCTATTTTTGAGTGAAATTTTGTGCATGATTGCATTTCTGATTGCTTATCACGTGCTTAAAAGGAGAATGGATTCATCTGTAGAAGAAAATGTGATGACAAAAGGTGCTCGATATTATAATCCATTAATTCTTTGGCCACCTGCTGTATTAAATCTCCTTTCAAGCTCATTAATCCTTTTTGGGATAATATTGACGAATTCATTTAGTCTTCAAATTATTAGCTGTACATCCATCATTTCTGTTGTATTTTTGTCAATTTGCATATTTAAAAGAAATTTGAAGTTCTATGAATGGATCGGACTTATTCTCATCATTTTTGGATTGCTTGTAATTGGATTTTATCAGTCAAAAGAGCATGTTAAGGATGAATTATTGGGTGACATTATGATAGCTGTTGGACAATTTCTTGCTGCATGCCAATATATTTATGAAGAAGCTGTCATTGTGAGACTTGACATTCCACCTTTACAATTTGTTGGCTTGGAAGGAATTTTTGGATTTATTATCTTGACAATTTTCATGTTTCCATTAGAATTCTTTCCATTGCTTGAAATATTTAACGGAATAAATTCATCAAATACTGTAGTTAACAATTTAGATGCAGTAGCTCAAATTTACAACGAACCATTACTGCTGGTTCCTTTATTTATCTTCATGCTGTCGGTTGGCTTTTATGCCTTTTCCGGTATTTATCTTACAAAAGAACTGAGCGCAATAACAAGAATGGTCTTTGATGCTTTAAGAATTATCATCGTTTGGGCTTTTTCTGTTGCCTTATCCTGGCAGGAATATAATTCAATTCAAGTAAGTTATGAAACTAATTCAATTTTAAGTTAAGGACCAATTATTTTCTCCTTCAGATTGCAGGTTTTCTCATGGTTATTATTGGAAACTGTATCTTCAACGACATTTACGTAATTAAAGCTTTAAATATTATAAAAGAGAAGCTATCAAAAAGCTGCAATAAAGCATAGTGAAACAATCGTTATAATTTCTAAAGTTTGAAATTATCATTTGAAACTGTACTCTTTTTCGTCAAAAACCCTACAATTCCTTCATTAATTGACGATTTTGTAAGGTTCTGAAACACAAAAATAAACATTTGTACGTTTTTCATAAATTTAAAAAAATCAACTGCATGTTGAACGATATATAAAAAGCATTCCTAAGCCTTACTTTTTGTGTACATCCAAAAAAAGCGCTTCATATATCTCAATTTTCTAGACAGGGTTCGACATTTGCGATATTTTTATTGCAGAAGAAATTTATTGCGGCTTTGAAAAAATGTTTAAATTTTAACATTTAATTAATTAAGATGTTGACGAGAAAAATTCTGTATATTTTGGTTCATTCCTCAGTAGGATTACTTCTTAGCCTTGTACATGTAAGTAGAGGATATGGATGGAATTGCTATATAATGAGAAATCTTAATTTTTCAGATTCTTCATATTTCTCGACTTTTTGAAAATTCAACAAAATTCTCTCATTTAAGTAATTTAGAAAGAGAACTAAGTTTAGCGCCGCATGAAGCTTTCTACTATCAATTTTATAAGCGTCTAATCAACTCTGATTCATTTGAGGAAGGGATTAATAATTTAATAGCCGATAATATAACGGAATATAATGAAGGATTAACAATTAATTCAATAAGACGGTTCCATATATTTCCGGAAATAATAATGGCTTTCTTGTATAGGAACTTTTTATCATTATCAAATTCACTAAACATTCCAACAGTTAATTGTTATTATTTGGAACCAGACGAAAATTCCAAAGTTGATGATCCTAAAGTTTTTGTCAATTGCGAAGGACTTGGAGAACCTATATACTTCTATTTAGCGATAATATGGAGCTTGTCAGCAATAACAATCTTCCTGATGTACATGTACGGTTATTTCTTGCATAGAAACTTCATCGCTGGATGTTCAGCAATCGTATATTTCTTCTGTACACATGAAAATGCTACAAACATTCATAGAACTCCAATGCTGCGTCATAATTTTGCAATTCCATTCATCATTTGGCAGACATTCTATTTAAATCTTTACATTGATCGTCACATTTTTGGAATTGATAATACACGAAAGGAAGGAAGTCATCATCGCAATTACGCAATGGTAAAATTTGTGAATCAGTTTTAAATCTTAATTTGCCACATTAATAATTACCGTTGTTTAATGTTTCAGATAATTAGCATCATTATCTTTAGTACAATATCTAACATATTTTGGGATATGTCATCGCACATATTCTTAGCTCAGACATTAGCATTATTTCTTCTTCTTCAATGTAACAATAGAAATGGAATTTCATACATAAGTAGCGGATTAGTGCTTGATTTTGCAGTTTCTCAAGTCATTGCAAATTGTTTAAGTTACTTCCTCATGTATGGAAACATAAAGTTCCTTATTTCTGGTAATAATAGTGCAAATATTGCTTTAATCATTTACATCGTACGAATGAAGATCGTCAGGCTTCCAACTGAAGAAGAGAATCCGAATTTTCGATCACCGTATAAAAAATTCTTTTACGTCCTTTTCTTTTATCTCTCAACATCATGGTTTATTCAAGACTTAATGGATCGATTTGTTCCATACATTCAAGACAATACAACAAGTTATCATATCGATTTGATATTCGCCATGCTACATCTCAAACTGCCTAATTTTTATACATTATTAACATATTATAGAGACAACACAAATGACCTCATAAATGTTTCTACACTACGAGTCTATTGCCTCGTTTTCCTCTTCAAAAATCTATCCATTTATATATCGATCAAATTTTATCAGATGCTTCACGCAAGACGACAAAAAATTGATGAAGACGTGCTCGAAATGCAAGAACGAGCCAAAAATTACGTAATTGAAGATTTTTTGGAAACAAATCGCGTGACTATGAAAGATCTTCAAGATCCCAAGACTGAGAAGAAAATTCAGGAGAATTTAAAGCTATTAGAATCATGCAATTATGATTATCAATTATATAAATTGGAAAAGGCAACAAAGAAAATTGACATAAAGACGGAAAAGGCAAACTTCCTGAATGACATTAAAAAGTTAAAAACTCAAATTCATCGAACTGAAAAGTCGAAAAATGAAAAAAGACAAAAAGCTATTGATTCGTGCAGTTCAAATGAAGAAAGTGAACATGAAACATTGGAACCTGAACAAGAGAAAAACGAGGAAGAAGAAGTAGAAAATGTTGAGAATGAAAAAACAGAACCGACAGACACAAAAAGTAAAAAGTCAAACAGTAAACCTGACGATTCAGCACAGAAAAGTGATTCACCATATCATGTGCAGCCGTACTATGCTTTTATATTAATTCAGACAGTCCTCGTTGGATGTATAGGCCTAAAATACATATTGACACCATTCTTGTGTCTAATTTCATGCACACTTCCATCACGTTCGTGGTTTAAAAAGACATCAACGACAGCATATTGGATATTTTATTTGTTCCTTGTTGCATGCACTTTTAATTATCCTGGACTAAAGTCTTTGAGATACCAATATGATTTTAAGAATGAGTTTCGAAATCCAGAATTGGAAAATTTAATAGGATGGATTGAAAAGACTGAACCAAATGCAGTTTTTGCAGCTCCATTGGAATTGTCAGCTCACATTTTACTATCGACAAATCGTCCGATTGTAAATCATCCTCTCATCGAATATCCAGAGATGATTGAGAGAACAAAGAGTCTCTACTCAATATTTAGTAAGCGTCAATCTACAGACGTTTATAATCAGCTAGTAAAATTAAGAGTTCAATATGTTGTGATTCCGTACGAAAGTTGTTTTATAGCATCGAAGGATGGTGTAAGATTAATAGACATATTTGATTATATAGAACCTGAAAATTACGATAAGAAGGCTTTTTGTGTAAGCTTATTCCAAAAATCGAATCCATCATTCATGAAAGTATTCGAAAATGTTAAGTATATTGTGATTCAAATTTTCTCGCAATCCATACAACTTGAATTGAAGAAAAAAGGCTTCCCAGAAGTTAATATGTGAAAGGATGAATCAGCTGATTCCGATTTAGAGTAGCTCTGGATTGTGTGGTAATTTATAAATTTTTATTATTAGTATTTGAACAATAAAATGAGCAATAAGATTATCATTATAGAAAATTTATGTTGTTTGTCTGATATGAAATTTAAAGTTGAAATTATCTATTCTTTACAGGCACACTCAGCCAGATAAATGTTTTGTCATAAAAATCATATTAGCTTTATTTATTATTAATTAAGTTTTCTTCAGATACAAGACCATTACACATTGCTAACATGACAGTATATAAATCATCATTAAAAGTGACTTGTTATACAATTATGGACATTTATATAATTCTCTTCGATAAACATCTTTTTCAGCATAAAACTTTAATGGTCATCATCGAATCTTTATTTTATATATTTAACAATTTCAGACCGTAAAACTTCATGGTTTTGCTATGAAAATCTCCAAAAATTAAAAGCTGATCATTTTGTCATGCTCAACGAGTCCATAATACAATTATTTTCATAATTACACGCTGTTTAGTCTCGCATGACATGAAAGGTGTTGGTTACTACCCATTTTTCCAGTTAATTGTATATGCTCAAGTGAATCAATGAGATTCAAGTTTATGGCTGCAATTTAAAACAAACAGTCTAATTTAATAATAACTCATTTATCTGCTATTAACATATTGACTTACTTAAATAGCTGCAATATTATGCAATGAGAAAAAAATAGATTATTAAATGCATAATACATGAACTTCAAGTCATGCATGCAAAAATGAGAAAGATCAAGTATTACAGAATTCCTGCATTGCAGAAGAATCATAAAGTTCAGCGAGAAAAGAAGAAATGGCAATTCCGAGTGCCATCAATGAAAACGAAAAGAAATTCACTTTTATTTGAAAACAAGTTTCCGTGATCAATGGCAGTAAATACCTAGTTTAATTAACTTCTTTTAATGTTGCACAATCATATGTTTACTCTAATAGCACACTTGCAGACAGACTTACTTTCTTGCATGTATCTATCTGGAGAAAAGCTCTCATCGCTTTTGGATTTTTCGCGAGAGACAAACTATATTGGAGTGTCGCGTGGTTGTTTTAGTCTTAAGTTCAGTCTTCTTTTTGAGTAGTTGAGTAAACGTAATCGGGTTTTATTTAAGCAGGTATGTCTGGAGTTGTGTCTTTTTTTTAACGTGAGGATTTAGCGCAATTTTTCCAGTGAATTTGGTTGCAAAAGATATTTTATAGTGTGCTGCATGCAGACTGCTAATCCTGAGACAGTATATGCTGTTTATTAGATTAAATTGTATGAATTTGAAAGCATTTGATTCATTCCTCAAAAAGTAGTCAAGCAGTTCATAAGTCTCACCAAATAACTCCACATATCTGATGTATTTAGCGCCAGTAGCAACAGGATTCACATATTTATTGGGAACTAGAATGGGTTGGAGAACAATCATCTTATTAGCTGCTGGTTTGGGAGCACTTTACACAGTTCATTTACTCGCACAAGACTGGATGAAAATTCAAGCTGGCACAAAGATTGGTAATGTACACTAATTATTATATGTAATAATTATCACATCATTAAGGCAATTAATTTTCTCTAGCTGCACGCTTATTACTCGGCAAAAGAGATTTAACAAATTTGAGTCGAAATGTCACGAAAGATGAAATTGAATTCGAGGAGAAAATCGATTGGGATAAAATTCTCAATCGAGATCCTTTTAATTGTGCATTGTCATTAGTTTGTCAATTATCTGCTGGAGCTGAAAGGAAGGACGATGAAGCTAATGCAATTTATGAATTTATCACGTAAGTAAAACGATTTTAAAGTGATTTTTTTTTGTGATTTAGAGTTGGAATATTTTTGAATAGCAAGTGCTTAAAATTGAAACATGTGCTCGGTTTTCGAGAATTGTGACCAATAGTAAAACTCAAATATGTACGAGAATTTGAAACTTAATTTTTTTAAAAATATTCAAGCACATCCTAGAAATCAAAGTTTTAAATTGAATAGTAATTTCAAGACATTTACAGTTCCAAAACAAACAAATCTTATAAAGAATTCTTTTAAAAGCAACAAAAATCATAGATTTACAGCTCAAACTTTTTAAGTTCTTTCTCATTTAAACTTTCCTCTCTCACTTCTCTCCCTTGATGAAGAAAAACTTCCAACCAATCACAGACCTTCCAGCTCACTTAAAAATACTTAAAACATGCCCATAAAATTATCTAATAAGAATCCAATTTGAATATTTTCAGACACACAATCGAGCATGTAAAAGTGCCAAAGAAATTAAAGAAAGCTTATAAGCTCGGACAGGATTACAATAAGAACCAAAAAGATGATTACCAAAAATGCTTTTCAGATTATTCATGGTGTCCATATTCAGCTAGGATGATGATAAAATTCATATCATTTAACAAAGTTTTATTTGGATGACAAAAATTCATTTCTTATTAAGTTACATCAGAAATTGCTTATTTTATAGTCACGCAAGTGCATGTGTATGACATTTTCATTTATTCATAAAATCATTTAAGTTTCTCGTTAAGTAACTCGTGATTATTTCTAATGTTAATACTCTATTGACCCTTGTAGTACTTTTGAGTCCATTTAGTTTTATGGTAATCTCTAAGTGTCTTCTCTTGATGCGTATGGCTTGTATTCATGACACGAATTTTACTGTCAATTTGACTCGCTCGAGCGGGACATTTATTGTGCTTTAAGTAAACGCAATTCCAATCTGTACAAATGTAAAATAATTAAGTTAATAAAATGTGTGGAGATTACATGACTGCAAGTTGATTTTGATTGAATTTATCTCGAGACCCGATTTTTTTTAAAAAGAAATACGAAAAGGATAATTTGGAGTCAACTCAGATTTTGTCAAACTTTATATAGAAAACCTTGATAAAACGTTTTTGTCAAAAAGGTACGAGATTTGTTAAGAAGTATGCCGTTTAGTCGAAAGCAGTTAAAATAGATACGAGACATTTATAAAGTGCAAAGAAGGTTTATGAGAACTAATCAAAATTCTCAATGATTTGTTTTGTGTCTTCTAAGCTGAGTATTGCAAAAACCATTGAATTCAAAACTAAACAGTCGTCAAAAAGAAGGTTGGGATACATTGATCTAGGTCGGTTAAGATGTAAAGTTCTGACTGACATAAAGCTTTAAACAATTTATTGATCCTGAATAATCAAGCCTCAACATCTATCTGACGTTAAAGGTTCCGTGACATCAAACAAATTTAGATCAAATCAAACATTTTAACAAGAACCAAGAACTTCAAATTGAATGAAAATAAATCAAATAAAATGTCAATAACTTACAAATCTTATTTCCATTAGTCTTATTCTTTCCATATTCGTAGCCATCAATCATAAGTCGAACACAATTTTCGCTGAATGTGTATTCAAACACATGTTCAGTATTTGCAGTGCCTATAAAATAAATAAAATGAAAATAAGGACGTTAATGTTGTGACTGAAATATTTTGAAAAGGACAGGAATGTCATGCGCATTATGGATGTTGTTATATCCACATAGAAATTTTTTTTCCTTTCGTAATTTAGAAAGGAAAAGTTTCTCTTACTGATAAGTTAAAAAATATTTTTAAGGTACAATGTATTTAGTGAATTTAAAATCATTAAGACTTTTTATTTATTTGTCAGGCTTAATATCAGTATTCCTTATAATTTATTACATATATGTGTCAAATTATAATAAAAATATTGCTAAACAAAATGAAAGGAAAATTAATTTCCTAATGATGCAACAGCACGGTATGAGTAGTAATTACTTGGATGGCAATGGTCTCAATAATATGCAAATGAAGATGCAGCAGAAAGAAATACTACAGACGATAAATCAAATGTCAATTAATGGAGAAATAATTCCTGAGAAATACGATGAACGAGTCATAAAAAATCGCATAATCAGAGAGAAAGTGAAGCTTATTTCTGAGAATATGAATTTAATAAAGAAGGATGATCCAAATCGTGATACATTCATGATGAGTGAGGATTTGTTGATTTTCAATAAGACTGTATCGAATGTTCATATATTTTATTATCTACCCGTTAAATGGTATACATCTGAAAATCAAAGTGTCTTTCAACTTGACACTGTCTTCTATCCAAGACGTGGACTGTACAATTACTCAACAATTGAGTATGCAAAAGCGATTTTAAAGGAACATTTTCAGGAAATTAGAATGTGTGGAATTGGTGTTATAATTATCTGTTGGGAACCGAATAATGAGAAGCTTAATGACTTACTTCCAATAGTTTTTCATCATGTCACGAGCATGAACAGGGAAAGTCCACAGAATGAATTAAAAATTGCAATACAAATAGGAAATTATCAAGACAGAACTATTGAAAGCATTAGAAATAATATTAAGTTTTTCGTTGACAATTTTACAAGCAATCCAAGCTTCTTTAGAGTTAATTCCCTTAAACGTCACAAGACACTTCCATTATTCTACATTAAAGATGCTGAGCAGGTGAAGAATTGGAGTAAATTGTTGGCCAAAAATGGAATGATAACGATTAGGGACACGAATTATGATTCATTAATTCTAGCACATTTAGAGTAAGTACATTGTTTTTGCCCAATTTTGACCCTTTCATTACTAAGTTTATAAATCTCTTCCAGAACTAAAGAAAGCAAATCAATCATCAGAAAGTCATGCTTTGATGGATTCTATACATCGAATGCCTCAAATGGAGCCAACTACTTCTCAACATTCAAAAATTGGGAGAAACTGAAAAAGTTTGCAGAAATGTATGATCTCATATTCGTTCCAACAGTAAGTCCAGGATTTCATGATGCAAGCACAAAATACAATCCTATGAGGAGGTTTAGGGTTAAGGGACAATATTTTGAAAGTAAGTGTCATGCGTGTAATCATTAAAAACGTAACTAATGACTTCCCACATCCCTTTTTCAGTTGGATTCAAAACAGCTTTAAGGCAAAGCACAGAATTTATATCAATCGAAAGTTACAACAATTTTGTTCATGGCACGCAAATTGAACCAGTCTTGCCATTCTCACACAGCAAATTTAAAGATTATGAGCATTCACCGATTAAGTATTTAAATCTTGCGCAATATTGGACGAATCAGTTTTATAAAAGTAAGCTTGATAATCAAAAGGCGAGCAAGGATAAAAAAATATGTCAGCATTTATTGAATAATACGATTTGTTAATGGATTATAATAAAAGTTTTAACTAATTTTAATTATCGACTTCCTTGTTTTTTATCATCGATCGCACTTTCGTTTTTGCTATTCCTCATCTATTCCTTATTTTTTAATTTGCGCTTCTTAAGCTTCTTGGATAGTTGTGGGGACTTTACTGTCCTTTTAGGTGGCTCATCCATTCCAAACATTTTTCTTAATTTTTTCAGTTCTCCTGTAATAAAAAGGAACTTAAATAGTATCTATGTATCTCATATCCTGAACATTAAATCTCACCAGTCTTTCGTCGTGTTAAACAAGGCTTATGACAGTGCTTAAAATCTTTATCAAATATGAATTTCTTATTAACAATGTCGTGCGTTACTTTTGCATGACAATTAAGAGGAATTCGATCTTTGCATTCCCTATGAAAATAAAGTCTAATTAGTGGATGTACTGAATTTTATCATTGGGAACCTACCAATACACTCGACTGTTTGTAGTCTTTTTCCTAGCAAAATGATAATCGTCAACGACGAGCAGCAAGTTTCCTTTCATACTTGTTGTGTATTCGATTTTATGCTCTTTTGACGCAGTTCCTAAAATAATGAATATAATGGATTAGTTATTATGATGGCTAGAAATCTATATTCTTAATAGATAAAATAAAGGAATAGAAACAGATTTATTTAGATTAATAGTCAACAAAATTTTATTTATTTCAATCAGATAAATCTGATTTGGTTATTAAAAGCTTTTTATTCTTTTTAGGCTTCTTCGCGGTTTTGATATCATCTAGACCAAACTGTTTTCTCAGTTTCTTAAGTTCGCCTTGTTTCCGTCGTCCAAAGCATGGCGGACCATGATTGTGTTTCCAATTTTTATCAAAATTCAGCGTTTGGGTCTTAAGGTCTTGAATGAATTTCGCTTCACATTTTAAAGAATTTCTGTCTTTGCATGACCTGTTGTGGAATTAAAGTTTTAAAACACTGGTTACAGATGTAATTTGGATTTATGATTTACCAGTAAATTTTATTGACTGTTGAAGACTTCTTTGCATAATGATAACCATCAACTGATAATAGTAAGTTTCCTTGTAAGCTTGTTGTGTACTCAATGTTGTGGGCACTTGATGTACTTCCTAAAATGAAATAATTTGATTAGTTTTATGTAGTAATTAAAGGAAACATTTATAAGCAACTGAAACTCCTTAAAGGTATCTAAAATTAAGTTTTTATAACTTTCATCTTTATTATCATTAATTGTAATCAAAATTTAATTTTAAGGTGCACTGAATTGATCATTTCGTTTAAAGCTATAATTCGTGAGATTCGTCAAAGCACATGTTGCAGAACCAAGGTCCACTAAAAATAAAACAAAGATTTATGATCATTATAATGATTATCACAATCGACTCAAAGACCTCACCTATTACAAGCTGGACAATAAGTAAAAATCTTCTCTAAAACCTTTTTGTAGTCAATAGAACTGCCTAGCTTTTTGATGCATTTAACACAATATCCTCGTACTCTCTTTCGTTTAAGATGACACAAGGCATGACCAGTATTTAATTGTTTGACAATTTCTAGATCTCCATTGGTTTGTAAAAGTTTTCCATCGTATGTTACGATACTTGATAAATTTGGTTCAACAAGTTTGGAATATCTAGATTTTACTAAAAATAAATAATTAAGAATTTTATTAGTAAGAGCTTTTAAAGAACTTGATTAAAATTTTGATAATATTTGAAGTTTTTACGATTTAATTAAGTCAATAAATAAGCAAATAGGTTTTTCTTTTTATTAAATAAAATATAATTTAATGATGTTCAATTTTAATGTGATGTAACTTCTTAAGATCTCCTTTCTTTCGACGATGCTTTATGTGTTCATGATTATGATTATTACAAACAATTTCAACTTTTTGTCTTTCATCATTGTCTCCAGCTTGGAATTGCTCATTATTTCTTAAATTAGTTCGTAGTCTAGCTCGACATCCTAGAGATTTGAATTGAACGCATCTCCAGTAAATGATGTCTTTGATATTGCTGTGCCTGTAAAAGATAATGAAGGTTAAGAATTAAATTGACTAGAATTCTGAAAAGTTATTAATGACATCAAAAACCTTGTAAATGGAAAGTCGTCTAGACATAGCTGATATTTTCCTTTAAAGCTTCTAATGTAAGAAACACGAGATTCATCAGCAATTATTCCTTCTTGATACCTATCGCCTCTGTGTAAGATTTGATTATTGTACGGAATTATGGCTAGAAATAAATTGTTCATTAGTAAAGTTTCTTATTAATTGTATCAAGACAGGTTATCAAACTCCTATATCATGCACAGAAAATTCAGGAATAAGAATCTGAATTAAAAAATATTTCTTATAATTTATTGAGTAACATTTAATCATCATTAATTTTATTTTTTCGATATTCAGGTTTCAATCCATGTAAGACACGTTCAGCTTTTAAACATCCAGTGCGCCTTCTTTCTGTAATCTTCCCATGATTGTGTGTAATATCGTGATTATAAACTATTTTATTAGCATCTTTATCCTGAGTAAGTCTAACTTTACAGTGCAGCGCAGTTTTTTGTCGACAAACCCACGACACTTTGTTCTTAAAAGTCTTTTCTTTTAAAAATGGATATCCTTTGAAAACTAGCATCAAGCCACCTCGCTCACTTGTTGTATAGGAAATCGTCTCATCATCTACAATAAATGAAGATTTAATTTTTATTAGAATTTGTGATTGTAAAGTTTTTTTTTTGTTGAATTAAAAGACTAATCAGCAGTTATGAATATTTAACTTTTATTCTTTTATTGGAATTTTATAATATTTATCCATCTCTCTATCTAAGGGTTGAATGCGAATGATTCGTATTTCGGAGTTCTATTTTATTTTCTGTTCTATTCTGAAGGACACGAGCCTTACATCTAGGAATAATGTGATTTGTTAGATTAAGTCAATAGACATCAAAATATGATACTTACTTGTGAGTAAATCGTCGTCTACAAACCCAGAAGCACTTATCTTTTCTTTCCTTTTCTTTGTAGAATTCATAGCCATTTAATACTAATATTAATTTTCCTTTATTGCTCACAGTGTACATCACAGCATCTTTTTCTAAAAGCAGAACAAGAAAACATTATTAGCACAATTATCAATAAAATCAAATAGTTTATCATAGATTTAATAAGAAATAGGCATATTTCATCCGTGGATTAAAGTTATATTTTTATTATAGTTCATTTTTTATTTTTTGATTGAGTTTTAGGCTTGAAATAGACAGGATTTAGCCCTCTTTGCATCCGTTGACGTTTAAGTTCTCCTGTTTTTCGTCGTCCTTCAATAACACCGTGATTGTGGGCTTTGCCATTGAGTTTCACCTTGTTTGTTTGCAGTTCGTGTGATAACTTGACCCTGCATCTAAGGATTATATCGATTTTTAAAATTTAATAATTTATTTCAATTTTAAGAATCTTACTTGAGAGCTTTCTTCTGACTGCAATGCCATTGAATTGTCTTTCCATCTGCAAGTCGTCTTTCTTCGTAAAAGTTGAATCCATTGTAGATCAAAATAAGCTTTCCTCGTTCACTGGTTGAATATGAAATTCTGTTTCCTTTAAGAAAATAAAAAGATTTATTGGTTAAATTGTAATCACATTTATGTGGGATAAGCATTTATGAAATAATTTCCAAAATAATAAGGTTCTTCAAAGTGTCACTTTTATTGATAAAACAGCTACAAAAATTTTATTTATTTAATATATCTCCGTTGCATGATCAAGTTCTTATGTTTTCCAGCCTTACGACGTTTAGTAATCACCCGACATCTGTAAGAAAAAAAGTATTATTTGAATCTGAAAAGATCAACTTGGCTTTGTTTGGCTGGATGATATCTTCATCATGCGATGGAAGTCTAGAGGAAATTTATTTTTCAATTTTAAGAAAAGTCTTGAAGCCATTTTATTCTACAAAGAATTGCTGTCCTTGAACCAATTGAGACACAACTTCTCAGAATTCATCCAAAAACATCTCTAATTTAAAGGATTCATGAAGTTGCAAAGACTTCGCGAAAAAGTAGGAATTGTCTTGAAGTAGGGTAACCCCCCCCCCCTACCACACCAAAAACATTTTTTTTAAATTTTCCTCCTTTTTAATGATAAAATAAATTATGAACGTTTAGGGGGGGGGGGGGGGGTGTGAGTTGTCTCCTAGTCTTTGCAACTTCATGAATCCTTTAAATTAGAGATGTTTTTGGATGAATTCTGAGGGGGGGTTACCCCCCCCCCCCCCCCCCTAAAATGCGAACGTAATAAGTGAACGGTCCCAAGGAAAACTGCCGAAATAAACCATATAAGTCCATGAAATAATTAAGGAAGGTTAAGGGTGGTCCAAAATATGCATAACGATATTTATAAACCTTTGGAATCAAAGAATAGATTACAATGATGGCAGAACATAAAAAAAAATTAAAAATATGTTAGATCTATTCCTATCATACCCATTAGAATTCATACTACTTAAGAATCATACTACTCACATACTTTTACATGTTTATTTTATATTTCTCCGTTCCATTATTAACTTCTTATATTCACCAGGACGCCTACGATTTAGAATGATCTGATGATTATGATCAGAAGTTGATATTTTAAACTTGTTGCTGTCAAGAGATTGAGCTATTCCAGCTTTGCAGCATAAAGCTTTTTGATGAATGCAGCGCCTAGACATAATTGAGAATTATAAGTCACAATTTATGGAGTAATGAAGAGCCTTAAAAAGTATTGAATTGGCTGATTAAGAGCCAGATATCCATCGAAGTAGCTACTCACCAGTATTGACAAGATCCAGATCGACTCTTTTTAGTATACGGAAATCCATTGTAAATGAGCAACATTCCACCTTTTTGATTCATGCTGAATGTTATGCCTTCATCTACGACTTCGTAAAGTTTACGTCTGTAAGGTGGCTGCATATCCTCTACAAATAAAGAATTATTTTATTAGGTAAGTTTTTAATGATTTTGTTTCTTATATTTCGAAATAGATCTTTAAAAATTATTCTGCTATAAATAATATGCAGCACATAATTTACAATAAAATTACTAAATCATTCAAAAGTGAAGTTTTTATTAGTGAAATCAATACAATTAATGTTATTAAATATTTAATTTAATCAATACGTCGAATAAATTCAGTATTTATCCTTGTCTCGCCTTATTTCAATAAGCTTCTTATATTCTCCAGCTTTTCTACGACTTGTAATGACCTGATGGGTATGCTCAGCAGTCATGACTTTAAAAATATTTTTACTAACAACTTGAACAACTGCAGCTTTACAGTTTAAAGCTTTTTGGTGGACGCATCGCCTGTAAAGAAATGAGATTTTAAATTAATTAAATTCCATTGCATTCAAAATTTGAAAAAATTACCAATAGATGCGCGATGCTGAAGCACTTTTTTTAGTGAACGAGAATCCCTGATAGACCAAAGTCATGCCTCCTTTTTGATTCATGCTGAATGACACTTCAGAATTTCCATCGAGAGTTTCCTTGATGTATTCCTCTATTGTGAATAAAGAAATAAATTATTTTTTATTAGTATTGTGAATTATTAAGGATCAATAAGTTTAACATTAAGCAATAAATGGAATCAAAAGATTAAAATTGTTTTAAAATAAACTTTATTATGACATCAAATATTTATCATCTTCATCTTTTCCATCGGATGTACGCAATTTTTTAATTATTCGATTAGTTTGCTCATGATTATGAAGAGGCTGTGTTACATTGATGCGATATAGTCCATTGGCTTTAAGTGTTGTAGTTATGCGAGCCTTGCATGCTTTTTCATCTTTCGGTTTTGTACGACAGCACCTGAAATTACAATGAAGAAGATTTGATTATAGGAAGATACGTTTAAGAAAGTAGAACTGTTTTTCGACTTACCAGTAAATAGAGTCTGCAGTTTTGTTATTTTGTGCAAATAAGAATCCACCCCAATTAAGCAAAAGTTTACCTCGTTGGCCTCTAACAAGGTTAAGTTTTTGGTCCTCCATGATTAAGCTCTTATTAAGTTTTGGCGTTTTCCTTTCTTCATAATAGATGAGCACTACAAGGGATAGAAACCAGAAATTTTATTAGTATATTGAATTTTAAAAATGTCACACTTAAAATTAAGGAATGAATTTGAGTTACAGTTTCGGTATTTATATTTTTTTTTTTATTAAAAACTTATTTTATTGAACAGAGCATAAAATTGGCTTGAATTTTGCATGAACCTTCATACAAAACCCCAACACACTTCAAGCTATGTTCTTTATTAATCTCATTTATCTATTTAATCACTAAATCGCTGAATAACTGAAGAAGTCTTGAGGAATTGTTTGTAAGCTTTTTGATCTGCATCATGGTTATGCGCAATCTCATTTTTTCTGACTGATTTATTTTCTTTATTATAAATTAATCTCGATTTGCATCTCTTGACAAAACCAGAACATCTATATTGAATAGTTGTTTTACTTTCACCAGATTTTAAATATTTATAGCTTTTATGGAATATTAAAGTACATCCGTTGGAACTTGTAATTATTTCAATCTCATTTGTCACGTTCAAGCTGACTAGCACTGGAATAAAAAAAGATTATTTATTAATTTGAGTTTGATGAGGTGTTGGATGTAGGACTACATACAGCTTGCGTCAAAGTCTGCATGATCAGGATCATGATTATGCTCGCGAAGTAAATATGCTTCGTTGTTTGTTGGAGGTAATTTGATTCTTGCTGGACATCTAATGAGATTAAAAAGAGAAATGAGTTATTTATTTGAAATTTGTCACTTGATATTACTTCTCCAGTTTATGCTTCATGCATCTATAATATGAAACTCCATCGTTATTTTTGTTGTGAAGATTAAATTTGTAGTCGTTAAGTAGCACACAAGTTCCTCCTTTTCCTGATGCGACCATTTGTATATCATCGAAAATGTTATACATGCTTGAATCTAAAAGTATAGAAAAGTTGTTAGGAACCTTATAAACATGACTATGCTTCTTAAAAGTGATTTTTAAGGCATTTCATATTTTGGTAATTGTAATTTTATTCGTTAAAATTTAAAAGAGTAAACTATCTTTGAAGTTTTAGGACATTTTGAGACACGGTGAATATTACAGAAGTTAATACTGTTCCTCATAAGAAAAATCAATATCCTGATTTTAAGAGAAAAATTTAATATGACTTTTTCAGAGATGTGTCAAGAAGATCATGATTATGAAAATTTGTCATTAATGCTACTCCTTTTCCATCAACAGCAATTCTGCATCTACACTGATTGGCATAATATTGACATCTATATCGTGTTGTATCATTCTTTTGTCCACATTTTATAAATTTAACTCCTTGATGCAATAACGATATTCCTCCTCGTCCGGTAGTTGTTTGTTCAATTTCACTAGAAATGTCGACAGTATTTGCATTCAATTTTATCATAGGAAGATGACTGTGACCCTCGAGTAGATAGGCTTGTCTGTGCATTGAATCTACTTTGATCCGTGCGTGGCATCTTTAGAGAAATGGATTAGTTTTGAGTTGTGATTATTAATTTATTCACACATTAGAGCTTCCTAAATTGTGGACATAAAATTCAAATGGTTAAATCTTAAAACTTACTTTAAATTCTGATAATGATTACATCGGTAGTAAGTTACATCATAAATGTCGTTTCTTTTGTGCTGCACAAACTTTTGAGAATTGTAGAATACGAAATATCCACCTCTTGATGTCTTCATGAACTCTATCTTATTGTAAATGTTAGGATGGACAGAACCTAAAATTACAGTTATTTTTTCATTAGTCAGAATCTTGAATTAATTTTTCTCATTGCTTAAAAGAGAAAAATCAATTCGATTAGCTTTTATGAATGAATTAAAATTTTATTCAACATTTTTTTTTATTTTTCAGCTTTAAATTGAGCATGATTATGTTCCGTTGTGTTTCCGGCATAAGTTGTCGAATTGAATACAACAATTGTTGCTGGACATTTGGATTTATCAAAAGCTTCACAACGATATCGAGCAATTCGATTCCTTGAAAAGTGATGGGTGAACAAATAATTTTTATATAAAATTTTCATAGCTCCAAATTTCGTTGGGACATAATAAGTTTTTTCGCCTGGTTTCTTAAGAATTTCATCAATATTTTCATTCTTAATCAAGCCTTTTTTGGTGCTCTGCTTTCTTGTAGATGGAATTGAATATCCTATCAATTGACCTGTAGAGAAAAAAATAAAAAAGTATTAGTATTAAGATTTAAAGGAACTAAACCTAAAACACTATAAATAAAACTCTAAATCTATCATGCAAAATCAAAAAGGCACACATAAAGTAACACAAAAAGTTTATTCTACAAAATTCTCTGTTAACTTTGTACTTTAATTCTCTTCATTCTGCATCTTAATTGTAATTTTTGAGTTATTGCTATCTGGTCCATGATTATGATAAACATTTCTGGACACTTCTAATCGACCATTCTTTCCAGTTATCACTCTTGCTTTACAATTTTTACTTCGTTGTTTGCTGCATACCTGAAAATTATTTGATAAATTTGTCAATAAGATGATCAGATCAGTGGCTTTATGATTTAGAAACACAATCCGATTTAATATTATTTGAAAGTTTTTCATACTTTTTAAAATCATATTTTAAAAATAAGCTCAAAATGGCAAATTAGGAACCGAATCGTAAGAATTTTTAACGGAATTCCTTTAATTCAAATAAAATATCACTCACCCAATACTTTCTGTCGTTCAACGTTTTCGCACATATGTAAGAAAATCCATCATATGAGATTTTTGGGGATCCTCTTTGTCCGATAATAAATGAGTATGCTAATTCATCGCTGGTTTCATTCATAGGCGGCACAACAGCCCAAAACGTCCCAGATCTGTCAATTTGGTCGTAGTCATCTGCAAATATTGAAATTTATTAGTATCTTGTATATTCCATGAGATATTCACTTTAAATCGAGTAAATTAAAATAAATTCATTTAAATATCTCTTTGAATCAAAATTCTTATATAATTTAATTATTCTTTATTATCATCGGTAATATCTGGTTTATGATTATGATAAGAATAAGTTAATGTGCATCTGGTGCTATCATAATTAGTCATGGCCTTAGCAAGGCACTTTTCACGTCGAAAATTTGAGCATCTCCAATAAATATGAGTTTGATTTCCTTTGTTTCGAACAAATGAGTATCCATCAATGACTAATTTCAAATTGCCTCGTTGTCCTGAAACGAATGTAAGTTGACTTGTGTCAAGTGAAATCATTTCAATCTTATTTTTTGGCTTCTTTGCTGTTGATTTTGATACTGACGGGGTATAAGGCATCATCAGATCTATAGCGAATAGATTATAATAAATAATTTTAGTTAAAGTTCAATTTTTAAATGCTGCCTTAAATTAAGCATAAAAATTGAAAATCAATTATTTTAATAAAATATCGTTTTATTCTGCTCTGAAGTCAATCAAATTCAATATTATTTAAAGCTTGAGATGTTAGGAGATGTTTCAGATTTTACGAAAGATGGATCATTATCGTAATGGTTGTGAACCAATCTTTTTGTTTTTAAGACATCGAGATCCAAAGAAGTAATTATTCGAGCATTGCACTTTGTTCTTCTGTTTGATGCACACAACCAATAAATTTTATTTTTTATCGTGCAATTCTGGAAGAACGAAAATCCTTCATAAATCATCTTCGGCTTTCCTTTTGATGTTTGTACCATTTTGATAAGAGAGTCTAAAATTAAAGAACAATAATATTATTAATAAAAATCCAAATAATTAACAATAACTTTAAGACTAAAATTATTAAGAAATAACAATAAACGATCGAAAGTAACAACAGTATTTTATGAATCTTTATTTATAATTAAAGAGCCGGTTTACAGATTCATCTGTTTGATACATTTTTGGATGAGTATGTTCGGACGAGATTTTCAACGTCGTTTGATTATTTAAACCTAATTTAGTGATTAAGCGTGCTTTACAATTCTTCTTATAATACATGCTGCATTTATACGATCGTTTTCCATCCAACTTCTTGTCATTTGGTGTATAAGTATTTCCATCATAAAATACTTGAATGGATCCTCGCTTTGATTGGACAAATCGAAATAATGGTTTTACATTCTGATCAGCATCTTAAAAGATAATTGAGAATATTTTAATTAGTATTAATACTTGTTTTTATGAAATTAGAGGGAATAGAAAATTAAAAAGTAAACAGAAACTTTTTGTAGATTAAATTCATTTATCTATCATTAATTTACTCTAACATGTGATCAATAAAGGTTCGTTCACAAATGAAGTCCAATTATTGAAATCTTTTAAATACAATTAATTTGACTTTATATCCCTAATTGTATGTAGACATCATAAGTGAACTACCCATTCAAATTAATTTGTACAGCAATTTTTCAATCAAAATCATAGTGAGAATGGTCCTTCTTTCTCTTGCACTCGACGTCTTCTGGATGAGAATGTGTAGGCTTTGAGATTTTAATATATTCAATATCGTCGACAATTCTTGTGACTGCTCGAGCAAAGCATTTCCATTTCTTGTATTTTGTACATTTCCAACTGATGATTCCTGTGTTGAATTTTCTGTTTTGTGTGAATGAGAATCCTTGGTATAAAAGCTTTCGTCCTCCACGATTTGTTTGGATAAATTGCGCCATTTCAAGTTCTTTTCCATCTTCAAATAGTTCAACTAATTGGGAAATAAAAAAAATGAAATTATTAGATTAATTGTCAAACATTCTTAATTTTAATAATCATAGATTAATTAAGATTTTCGTTATCAATAAAAATAAAAATGATTTATTCAGCACAGATTTTTTGGAATTTAGTTAAGTTATGAAACGTAAAAATTCTTAGCAGGAATTGATTTTGTAATGAAGGTGTTATTAATGAGTTTTGATTGATCGGTGATTGGTTTCAACTTTTCCACTTTCTTATAGACATTTCGTCCATGATTATGTACAGCTGATGAAACTGTTGCGAAATTCGGATTTCGTGGATTTGTTGTTAATGCTGCTCTGCACTTAACAGACGATCGTAAATCACAACTCCAGTGTAATTTATTTGCAGCTCTTGTATTGAGTCTATAAAAGTGACCATTCCAGAAGATTCGTGGCACTCCTTTAGAGTTCTCAAAATATTGCACTAAAAATAAAGAATAAAAATATTGATTAATATTGTGAAATTTTGGACATTACATAAAGTGTTAAGGAAGATCAATTAGTTAATAAATATGGCAACAAATTTTAAAAGAAAGTGGAAATTTTATTCTTTTAGCTCTGCTTTTAAGCTATATTAAACTTTTTTTGACAGGATTAAGTCTTTGAATATTTCGCTGTGCATCTTTGTTATGAGTATGATGAGCAATTCCAAGCAATGCTTCATGTGGTTTTGACAAAAAGATTTTTGCTCTTGCTCGACATTTACTGGATCTGTAGCAGGAACAACGATAAGATATTGAATTCTGACTGACTGTATTCCTCAGAAAATAATATCCATTGACAAATAAATAATTTCCTCGTTCTGTGTGATAATACTCTGCAGCATAAACTTTTCCATCGATCGCTTCCTCAAATTTTGATGAATTGACGTTATCGAAACTATCTAAAATGAGAGTAAAATGTTTAGCATGAATAGTTTGTAAAACATTGGCACAGAAGTTTTTAAGGAATAAATTCCAATAATCTCAATTCTATGCATTTAAACTTTTTGTTTTAAAAACGTTTATTAAGTTCTAAAGAATATTTTTCTTTTTAACATTCAAAGCTCAATCTTTATGATCTTCATAAACAATAGTTGTCACATCCATCGGTTCCAATTTGCTTGGGATGTGCTTAATGGTAACAGAATAATCCAACAATCCATGATTATGTCCCTTTCCCTTAAACCTAATTGAGTATGGCTTGTCTTTTTCAGCA